GAGCAATGGGTGTCTTGCAGGGCTGTCAGGTCATGACTTTTCCCACCCCACGTCTGCCCCTGTTGCATCTTCCTTTGCCCTCCCAGCTCTTCCCTTCTTTGCCTGGGGTTGCACTCACTGTTTCTCTGCTCCTCCTGGTGGCACTGATGAAAAGCAGGATTGAACTGTGTGTTTTGCCTTCAACTTTTCCTGTTAACAGCACAAAACTATCGAGTTTCAGTTCAGCACTGAAGTCCAGACTTGTCTTTCTTTTCTGGTTCAAGTCTCCAGCTTTAACCTGTGCAGGGTTGAAGCTTTACAGCAGGAGGTTTATTCTCTGTGGCTGAAAAGTCACATAGAACAAAAGTTTGAGCTTGGAACAAGCTTTCTTGAGCATGAAAACTCTTGGAGAACTGATAAAATTATAATTTCCCTCTCTGTGAACTTCCAAGCATTTTGGGAAGGTTGAAGTATCCTTTTCCCTCCTTTCTCCTTTGAAGTGATGACCTTATTTATTCTTATGTAACTTGAGAGGAAATTGAGGCACCGATTCGTTAAAAAAACAAGACAAAACCAGATATTTATACAATAAGCCAAGTAGGCAGAATTCTGACATTTATATGCAAGAATCTTGTTTTAAAAAGGCTTGTTTGGCTTGTCTGTGAGCTTGAAATGTCTTGGTCCTTACATTCTGCTGTCTACAGCTCATTATTCACCTAATCCTGAGCTAATGAGAAGTGAAAGCACCAACCACAGTAGATGAGACCCAGATGAAATGGTCTTACCGTGCCAATAAATTTGAACTTCATGAGGCATTTGAGCTTCCAAGGGATGGCACAGAGGAACAGCTGTGACTGCATAGTCAACTCTCATGTGACCAGCTCATAAAAGACCGAAAAGACCTTTGTTGTCACACATACTGAACTTTCTGGTGGGGAAAAAAAAAAAAAAAAGCTCATTTCTAGAGGAAGGGAGTTCAAAACAACAAACTTCAGTCTCAAACTCGATTTATTTTTATTTATCTTGGTTGCAAAAGACAAAATTCAAAGAAAATGTCACTTGTGAGTGAAAGGAAAAAGAAAAGGTTGCCTTTTCCTCATGTGGCATTAAAATACCATAACCTAATTCAGTTTAATAGACACAGCAACCAAAATATCTCTGTTAAATGACTAATGAAATGATTAATTAAAAAGGGGGGTTTCACATAAACTGGAGACAGGAGGTCACCTGTCTGGGGACAGATAATCCCAGTGTCCTGATGCCAAGCAAGAAATCCTGAGAGAGGTGTCTGCCTCACTGCCCTGGGGTTTGTTGGGGTGTCTGACCCACACCAGTCTGATGGCAGCTCTTTCCTTTCCTTTTTCCATGTATTTTCATGGCCACTGCATTGTCACCTCCATGGAGAAGAGGATGGTGCATGGATGATCATTAACTGCAGGAATTAATTGCTGTGCTGGAAAGCAGGAGCCAGGAGGGCTCAGGAGGTGGGTCATAAACCAAATGTGAGTGGTGAACATGGGACCAAGGGTTTCAGGGAAGATTAAAAGGTCAGTCCATGTCCTGAGATCCTCAAACACCATCCTGAGAAGCTCAACATTGCTCAGCAGTGAGTATTTGCAAACCAGATACCAACTGGATCCTGGGAAGAAGCACGACCAGTAAGTTGAGGGAAGTGATTCTGCCCCTCTACTCTGCTCTTGCGAGAACCCACCTGGAGAAAAGTCCAGCTCAGGGTTCCTCAACATAAGAAAGATGTGGAGGTGTTGGAAGAAGTCTAGAGGAGGCCATGGAGATGCTCCAAGGGCTGGAACCCCTCTGCTCTGGAGCCAGGCTGGGAGAGCTGGGGGTGTTCACCTGGAGAAGGGAAGGCTCCAGGAAGACCTTGGAGCCCCTTCCAGGGCCTAAAGGGGCCTCTCTCTCCAGGAGAGCTGGAGAGGAACTTGGGACAAGGGATGGAGTGACAGGACAAGGGGGAATGGCTTCAAACTGGCACAGGGTAGGGTTAGATGAGATATTCAGAAGAAATTCTATCCTATAAGAATGGTGAGGCCCTGGCACAGGTTGCCCAGAGGGGTTGGGGACTCCTCATCCCTGCAAGTGTTCAAGGTCAGGGTGGACGGAGCTGTGAGAAACCTGGGATACTGGAAGGTGTCCCTGCCCATGGCAGGGGGTTGGAATGAGATGATTTTTAATGTCCCTTCCAACCCAAACCGTTGCGTGATTCTTTGAAAATATTTTGCAATTCCCACCAGCATTTCTTAGTTCTTTAAGTTATAAATTTAAGAAATGGTTAAAATTGCTAGTCTTAAAGATAGAGATGTACTGATAAAAACATCCAAACAAACAAAGAAACAAAAAAAAAAACCAAAAAAACAAAGGAAATATTACAATAAGGGGAAGTGTCCCAAAACAGGGCTACAGGAAGGAGCATTTCTTGGGCGAATAACAGGGATTAATCCTGTAGTTTCTCTGCCCATTTTCAGCCCCTAATTTTATCATTGTCTTGGGCTGACTTGAAAAAACAAATCTCTCAGCAAATTATATTGCCATGAACATGTCTGCCACCCAACTGCCATCCCTGTGATATCCAAAGGGTGCCCAAGGGATGGGACACAAACCTTGTGAGATGTGGTGAGATGTCACGAGCAGTAACCGGAGCCAGGGACGTGTGGACATGAGGGGACACACGTTGCAGGTCACTGCATAGGTGGGGATGGAGTTGAGCTTCCATTTAATGGAGAATTTCAGGAAAAGTTTGTGCTAAGATCTCTCACACTGGATTGGGAAGCACTGAAGTGCAAGGTTGACCCTTGGAGTTTTTGTTTGCCTTTAAAGCAAAAAGCAAGCTTTGCAGTGAAATCAGGAGTTGGCCTGTAAGACACTGATGATTTACTAATTACTCTATAATTTACACTTAATTTGCTGTGGCTGAAGTCCCTTCTCTGGGTTCTTCCTTGCCTTATTTCTGGGACAAGTTGGAATGAAAAAGAAGAAAAATAACCTGTATTTACAACTGACTCACAGGGCAGTTATGAACATTAACCACGTGTGAAAAACTAGGGGAAGTTGGGTTGTATGGGATGAATCTGGAGGAAAAAGTGGGAAACTACAGAATCTTTGAAAAGGCTGGTAGATGCACTGTGTGTGCATGTGTTTATTCTATATATATATGTGCCTGTGTGTATAAAATTTGTGTGCATATAGGTATATATTGGAATCAACAAGTTAAAGTCTAAACTTCTTCCCATTTCTGAAAGTAAAAATCAGCTGATTTACAAATATCTGGTCTAGGATGAGTCTGAGTTCTCAGATCTGGGTTTTCTGGTTGCTCTGTCATGCAAAAGATAAACTGTGAATGTTCACACCTAAGTTTCAGCTCCAGTCCAATCCTAAAGGATGGAATATTAAATTCCTGAGTTTCAGATGCACTTATTAGTGGGACTGACGAGTTTACAAAGCTTTGTGAAAAAGGTGGATGTGATGCTGTTTCACTGGATTAGGAGAGAGGATTGTAATGAGAGCAAAGTTCTTACACAAGCTGGGAGCTTGTTTGGAATGTCACAAGGAAAGATGGATTCCACACGAAATCCATGAAGGAAAAGCAAGGACTGTCAGAGCTAAGAAGAGATTCTTTAAATAGAAAAGACTAGAAGAGCTTGGCTTGAGCTGGAAGCTGAGTAGGAGTTGTGCCTGGTCTCCAGACTCTGCCTCTAGACAGGCAGAAGGAAGGAGGAACAATTATTTTAGCTGCAGGATAAAGCTGGCACAGGGACAAAGAGCTAAAAACTCATCTCAGATGAATGTTGGCTGGAAAGGCAAAACATTTCTAATCATCAAAGCCAGAGGAGGGTTTGGAACAGCCTCCCAAAACAGCCAGCAGGGTTGGGGTGGGGTGAGATCCATGTTGGGGCAGGACTATGAAGGAGTCACAGAGTTGAAGGTGCAGGAGGCTCTGTCTGGTGATTCATCAGTCTGAGAAAACACCTTGGCAACTAAATCTGAAAGAGGAGACCTTTAAGTTAGATATTAGGAAGAAATTCTTCCCTAATGAGGATAGTGAGGCCCTGGCACGGGTTGACCAGAGAAGCTGTGGCTGCCCCATCCCTGGAAGTGTCCGAGGCTAGGTTGGACAGGGCTTGGAGTAACCTGGGATAGTGGAAGGCGTCCCTGCCCATGGCAGAGGGTTGGAACTAAGTGATCTTTAAGGTCCTTTCCAACCCAAACCATTCTGTGATTCCATGATTCTATGACTCTATGGTTCTATGGTTCTATGACACTTGCTCTGTCCTTCTCACACTCACACCTCCCATCCTGCCCCGTGTACTTCCACCAGATCTACACAACTGGAACATCAGATATTAGGAAAAAATTCTGCCCTGTGAGTGTGATGGGGCCTTGGCACAGGTTACCCAGGGAAGCTGTGGCTGCCCCATCCTTGGAAGTGTTCCAGGCCAGGTTGGACTGGGCTTGGAGCAACCTGGGCTTGTGGGAGGTGTCCCTGCCCATGGCAGGGGGTTAGAACTGCATGATCTTGAAGGTCCCTTTCAATCCAAACCATTCTATGATCTAAGTCAAATCACTCTCCAAATGCACTGGACGAATACTCGAGGATTTGGGAATTCTCTCTTGTATCATTCCTGGTTTCTGGTCTTGTTCCACAACGACATGAATCCTTCCCCAGAGCTGTCTCCATTTCAGTTCTAGGTGGGTACCTGTGTCAAGAATTTCCTTTGCAAAATGTCCTGGAGATGTAATAGTAGAGATTATTTGAAATATATAAACATTCACTGAAAGATTGATTAAACATTGGAACAGGCTGTCCAGGGAAGGGGTGGAATCCCCACCCCTGGAATTGTTCAAAAAACAAGTAGATGTGGCACTTGGGGACATGGTTTAGTGGGAATGGTGATATTGAGTGGAAGATTGGACTTGATGATCTTGGAGGTCTTTTCCAACCTTGATGATTGTATGATTGGAAGGGCACAATTTCCCCATTCACAACTTTAATAGGTTTACAGGAAAAAAATATTGCACCGGTGTTTTCACCATATTTTATTAGTATTTTATAATATTGCTTTATAAAATTAGAATCTAAATTCAGTTTATAATTTTTAAGGATGCTCTTAGCTATGACAGCAATAAAAACCTCTTATTTGTGGAAGGTCTGGGTAAACATTTCCGGGGTACTCTGAAGCACAGAGGGTTTGTGTCTTCGGGGAGCATCCAAAGAAGTCTCAGCCCAACCTCTAAATGAACCAGAAAACTTCAACAACTCTTGCAAAACCAAACAGTTTTAAAGTTCCTCCAAGGAAGACAAGAGTAAAAGTGACTCTCATTTAACGGGATTCATCTGTATGTTGGAGGACATTCCGAGAGTCCAGCCTGGGGAGGGTGGAGATGGTGGTAAATTGGCTTTTCCATCATGGCGGTTCCAGGAGGACAAGAAGTCTCTTGCAATCATTGAATCGTAGAATGATTTGGATTGGAAGGAATCTTAAAGATCATCCAGTCCCACTCTCTGTCATAGGGAGGGACATCTTCCACTAGACCAGGATTTAAATGTCATTGGAAATCTGTAACAGGAATTAGAGAGGCCTTCATAGAATCATTGAATCATGGAATCGTGGAATGGTTTGGGTTGGAAGGAACCTTCAGAATCATCCAGTTCCACCCCTCTGCCATGGGCAGGGACACCTTCCACTAGTCCAGGTTGCTCCAAGCCCAATCCAACCTGGCCTTGGACACTTCCAGGGATGGGGCAGCCACAGCTTCTCTGGGCAACCTGTGCCAGGGCCTCCCCACCCTCCCAGGGAAGAATTCCTTCCCAATATCCCATCTATCCCTATTCTCTGGCAGTAGGAAGTCATTCCTTGTGTCCTGTCACTCCATCTCTTGTCCCAGGTCCCTCTACAACTCTCTGGGAGCATCTTTAGGCACTGGAAGGGTCTCAAAGGCCTCCTTGAAGCCTTCTCTTCTCCAAGCTGAACACCCCCAGCTCTCCCAGCCTGGCTCCATGGGATCAGTTGGTTAAGACTACGCAAAAGCTGAAAAAGTAAAATCTGGATGATCCAAAAATCAGGTGGGAGGAGCAAGAGTCACTCCCTGTGAGGAAAAACCCAAGTAATTTGGTTGTCATTTTTTTTCTGGGCAGCAATTCCGTCCATCCCTTGTGTTCAAAAATGTGTTTGTGGGGAGAAGAACATTTCCATTCCTGTATCTATTTGTTGTTTTCTGAGGGGGAAAAAAAAAGTTATGGACAGAGGTTTTCATAGCCCAAAGCTTTGCTTTCATCATCTTGAAATAGGGGAGGGAGAAAGGCAGAGATGTTTGGCCTGTTTTCCTTTTTAGGGTGTGTATTTGGGGGGCTGGACGAACAGCTCTTGCAGTGTGGGATAAAATATCCACCATGATGAGGCCTTTTTTTTCAAACACTGCAGAAAGTTGTGGGATATTCCCTATTTGTAAACAAGAAATAAGAACTTGATGAAACTCCCTAGAAAACATCTTTTCCATGACACTGACTAAGAGGGATCTTCCCTCAGCTATGATTCCAAGGAAACCTGTGACTGCTGGAAGAAATAATGATTTTACAGGGATGAAAAATGTCTTTTTTCGTCAAAGTTGTATCTGTGAGAATTCTTCAAGTTTTAATTAAAACCCAGAAAGTCTGAGGACTGAATTAAAAAATATTGTGGAAAAAGAGAATTTTCAAGTTCTAAAGGTGAGAAGTTTTTATTTTTTTAGCAGCTCTATCCAAAAAGCTACTTTATTCTTTTAGCATCTGAAGACATTCTGGGTGAAAAATGTGAGGAGTTATAGAAGGAAGGTTTTTTGATGGAAAACTAGGAATCCTCTGTAAAGGATTGTGTTCACAGAATCACAGAATATGCCAGGCTGTAAGGAACCGAATAAAATTAATTCAGCTTTTCTCTCTCATATTTTTCTTTTAATTCTGAATCCTTTTGATATGGAGAAACCTCCAGAAGTATAAGCTGGATTTGCATATTCTTTCTTCTGTTTATTTGCAGAAATGAAATCTGGGGGACAAGCATTAAAAGTGACAAATTAGTAAAGAAAACAACCCAATGTTCTTTCCACTCTCTATAAATAAATCCTGGGGATATGGAAAGGAAATCTGTGAAATCATTCACTGTAAATATAAGTTCAGGGCATTGAACAGAAAGGAAAATTTAGATATAATCCAACATATGCCTATTGACAGGTCTCCATGGGAAGATCTCTGTGTTAAGCAGAACCAGCTTTGACAGGAATTCACCATAAATGACACCCCAACATATGTTGAAATATAAATTAATGCAGCAGAAATAGAGACAGAAGATCACTGTGACACCAGATTTTCCCAAATCCTCTTCCCTTCACTGATTAATATGTTAATTATGGAGTGAGAACACAACAGCTGTGAATAATGTTTCTATAATGTGCCAAACCATGACCTGCTCCATCCCTGGAAGTGTTCAAAGCCAGGTTGGACAGGGTTTGGAGCAACCTGGTCTAGTGGGAGGTGTCCCTGCCCATGGCAAAGGGTTGGAACAACATGATCCTTAAGGTCCCTTCCAACACAAACCATTCTGTGATTTTCCAGTGTAGTGATTGCTAATTCCACCACATTTAGGGAAGACAGTTGGACTCAGAGGTCAGTGCCACTCCAGGAGCACCAGGATGCACAAAACCCGAGGGCTGGATCTTTGAAGATCAACATTGAAACAACTGATGGTGCTACCCAGGGAACTGCTCAGCAAACTGGGGTGGGGAATTCAGGAAAAAATTCTTATTGGAAAGGGTTGTTAAGTAATGGGATAGAGTTCCCAGGGAGGTGGTGGAGTCCCCATCCCTGGAGGTGTCCAAGGAAGGCCTGGGCGTGGCACTCAGTGCTCTGGGCTGGGTGACAAGGTGGGGATGGGGCACAGACTGGACTCAATGACTTGGGAGGTCTTTTCCCACCTCAATGATTCTGGGATTCTGTGCACTGGGTTCCTGATGGCCACATTAAAATTCCCCAGAGCCAGCACCAAGAAAAACTCATGGATTTTATTGTGACAGAGCTACAAGAAAAGCAAGACCATGGGGAAAATGGCCACAGTGTTTACTTTTCTCATAAAACATTTCAGTACCAAAATCTTTTTCAGATGAGACATAAAACTTTGAGGGCTTTGGTAGAAGACTGAAAAATGTCAAGTGATAGTTTGGGATTGGAGTGAAGGGGAAGGAGGGGCTGTTTGCTTTGTTCTTAAAAAAAAAAAAAAAGGCAAATCCCCTGAAAGGAGACATTTCTCATAGAAATATCACTGCTTTGAAGCCAGTCAAAGGAGCTGTTTTTTATGAGATAAATATTGAGATCAGCCTGAAACTGAGTTTGAACAGTGAGTCCGAGACCTGCCTGAGCCACTGGAGGTTCAGTGACTCATGTGTCACCCAGGAGAAGCCCCACAGTGGGCTGGCTGGGGCTCTGAGCAACTTGGGATAGCAGAAGGTGTCCCTGCCCATGGCAGAGGGCTTGGAATGAAATAAGTTTTAAGGTCCTTTTCAACCCAAACCAGCCTGTGATTGTAAAAAACAACCCACTGGACGAGAGATGTTCAGCCTTTGCTCTCCAGGGCTGCAGCACAGTCTGCTCTTAGGGTTTTAAAAATACATATTATGGTTTCATACCTGAAGCTTCCCCCAGCTCCTGGAAATTGGGAAAGGATTTCTCCTTCCCAATGATTGCTCCCATGTCTTTATCTCCTGTATCTCCAAACCTCCTTACAGAGGAGGGAGAGAAAAAGTATGGGCTTAACCTTGACCCCAAAATGTCTGGCTGCCCCCTCCAGTTAGTGGTTAATGCAGAGCCTTTGTTGTAAGAGAGTTTTAATTAACTTATTTAAACCCAGATATTTAAAGCCAGCTGTCTGGAGACCCTGCTCTGCATGCGCTGACCAGGTCAGTTCTCAGCCTCCTCCTCAGAGCAGAAAACAGCCCGAACTGCCTCAAATCCTGGGATCAGTTTTGGGCCACTCAGGACAAGAAAGACATTGAGGGGCTGGAGGGTGTCCAGGGAAGGGAACGGAACTGGGGAAGGGTCTAGAGCACCAGGAGCAGCTGAGGGAGCTGGGGGGGCTCAACCTGGAGAAAAGGAGGCTCAGGGGGGACCTTCTTGCTCTCTACAACTCCCTGGTGGGAAGTTGGAGCCGGGGGGAAGTCGGGCTCTGCTCCCAGGGAACAAGGGACAGGATGAGAGGAAACATCCTCAAGTTGCACCAGGGAAGGTTGATACTGGAAATTAAGAACAATTTCTTCACTGAAAGGGTTTTCCAGCCCTGGCCCAGGTGCCCAGGGCAGTGGTGGAGTCCCCATCCCTGGAGGGATTTAAAAGCTGTGTGGATGTGGCACTTGGGGACATTGGTTAGTGGTGGCCTTGGCAGTCCTGAGTTAATTGTTGGACTCGATGACCTTGGAGGTCTTTTCTGACCTTAATGATTCTATAATTCCATATTTCCATGTGATGTTTATCTGTAGCACATGAGCCTGTGGTTAAGAGTAGCTGCAGTTCACATGTTTCCCATGTGACCAGCATGGAGTTTCCCCAGTTTTGCTGACCTAGAACACACGAAAAATAGACATTACCTTCTTTTCTCTTTTCATCACAGAAAAGATCCATTTTCCAGACACTTGCAATATCATCCCTGATTTTTTTCCATGCCCTGTAAGCTCTGAAAATGCAAAGGATACCCAGGAAAGCTGCCATGGTTCACTTGTGTGGGATGAAATGGCAGAGGAAAAGGTATTTAAAAAATGAGAGCAGAAGTTGTGGGGGATGGGAGGTCTTGAAAGGACTGGAGCTGATTCCTCTCCTGGCTCTTAGTTGGAATCTGAAAAATCTCTGCGGGTTAATGAGGAGCAGTCACGTTGAAATGTCCCTTATGTACATGACAATTTAAGACACCACCTGTCTGGAGAAAAATATTATGGGATATCAATGTCCAGTGTCTGAAAATCACAAAGGAACAGACATTTTCATGGAGACTGAAGAGCAAGAAGGAGTTTTATGGATGGTGAAAGTCTTAAAAATGTGTTGGATACCTAAACAGGCTACAAAGAGAAAAACTATGGAAGAAACAATCGGAAGAAACAATCGGAAGAGAGTGTAAAAGAGAAAAATTAAGGAAGAGAAAAAATAAGAAACAATTGGAAGAGAGTTTTTAATTCCCAGCTACTTCAAACCATCATCCCAGGAACTATCAGAGCACCTGGTTGACCAGCAACAGCATCCTTTTCTCTAATTCATTTACTTTCAAAGAGCAATTAATTGATTTTAGATCCTAGATTGGTTGGCTTTGATCCTTTAATTGCCTCTCTTCACGTCCTGAAAGTGTAGCTTTGCTTTCTTCAGGGATCTCCCTTCAGGAGTTGCTTTTAGTACAGGATGTTTATATTATATATATTTTTTATTTATATTTAGCACAGGCTTAGTGGGATTGCAACACGGAGGTGTCACTTAAAATGCTCTGGGCTAATCAGAATCGATGTTTTGGACCATGTCTTTAGTTTTTTGGGGGTTGTTTTATCTGTTCCTTACATAAAAGTCTAAAGACAGAGATCTCTTGATGGATGGCCCAGACTTTTCATTTTATGTCACCAAAGTCCACCAAAAATCCATATTCCTCCGAATGCCCAACTCACACTGTCAAAAAATCATCTGGAATTGAGACACAAAGGCAAATTTCCAAACCTGTAAGAAGTGTTATGTGTGTTTATTTCTCCTGAACCACTATTCAAATCCTCACAAAAATCCTAAAAATAAACGTAGAGAACTCAGATGTGTCACAGGAGGAGTTGATAAAACAGGTATGTAAAAGCCTTTTTTGGAACTAAGGGAACAATCCAGAGGGCAGATCCATGGAAAATGGCCCAGGAAAGGAGATAAGCTTGGAAGTTTCCAAAATCTTTTCCTCAGGGAGGCTCAGGAATTGATTGTTGTGGGAAGTGCTTGGTGTGGGAAGAACAACAACATTCCTACGTAAGTGGATCAGGGTGGACCCAGGTGGAACTGCCCATTTCTTATGGCAAAACCTGGGATAACTGACCTCATGAGGTCATGGAATCATGGAATATCCTGAATTGGAAGGGCCCACAAGGATCATCGAGTCCAACTCCTGGCCCTGCACAGACACCCCAACAACCCCACCCTGTCCCTGAGAGCGTTGTCCAAATTCTCCTGGAGCTCTGGCAGATTTGGGGCTGTGCCCATTCCCTGAGGAACCTGTTCACTGCCCAGCCCACCCTCTGGAGGAAGAACCTTTTCCTTTCCACCTCTGTGAATTTTATTATCAAAGTCCAGCTTTGATTTCCCTGCTGCTTTGATCACTCTCGGCCTTCCAAAATAATTTTCCGTGCTGTGCCCCTGTGAAAGCTGAGAGATCTCATTCCCTCCTTCCCAGTGAAGAGCTGATGGGGGCAGGAGGTCCTACTGACACACTGATTTTCCTCATCAAAACTAGTGAATTTGCCTAATTTTTTTTAACTTGTTGATCATGGAATTGTCACCTCAGGCTTTTGTGTTTGTTCAAGGAGAAGAATCCAGCCCAAAGTCACCGTAAGAATTCACGGAGCATGTGAAACCAGACCAATCACAGGGGTAGAACTGAGCCTAAATGCTGCATATTTTTCGTTCTCCCAGCCTAAAAAATCAATAATCCATATCTGGAAAATATTAGGAGGGCTTTCTTTCATCAGCAAATGGTGGGTCCTTCTTGCAGAGGCAATATTTTAGGTTAATTCATCCACCATCAGTAGGATTTCTACTCCCTGCTCTATCTCACTCTCGAGAATTTTAACACTTCCTAGTGTCTGTATTTGTAATTTTTATTTATTGGAGTTGAATGCCTTCAAATTTCCCCAAAATTCTCTTGGGTAACTAGAAAAATGGTGAAGTTTTCAAACAACAATCATTTTGCATTTCTCATTTTCTTAATATCTGGCAGTTGGGGAAGCAACAATCCCTCCATATCTCCCTCAAAGGTGTGAAGAATAATCTTTTTTATATTTTGGGGTTCTTTTTTTTTTCTATTAATAGCGACAAAAAATAGTTCAGCAACCATAATTTCTTGCCTGGTTTATTCCAAGGACCAATTTAACCTGAGTGTCTCAGTTTGTGTTCTCATCTATCCATATCCTTCTGTTCCGCTTTGAACTCTGCTGGGAGAGATCTGTGGCAACATCCATTGCATCCTGGCAATTTCCCGCTCTGGGAATTCCTTGGAATGGCTCAGAATGGTGTAATATTCCTGAGCACGTTGCTCTGATCCCATAAAACCAGAGAGAGGCACCTGCCAGCAGGTGGGATTCCCTGTTTGCCGGGGTGTTTATTAGCTGGCACCTTTCCTAGACTTGTCTATATTTAATTCAGGATGTTCTCCTTCAATTCACCGGCGTGAAATAAAGTCCACAAAGCATCAAGACACAAAGAGAAATGTAGAACTTCGTTTTCTGCAAATAACCACCCTCTTTTGTGTATTTTGGGGAGTACTGGGTGCTCTGAAACAACAAAACCCAGGAAGACTTGGTAAACCAAGGTATCTTGGGGTGCAACAATTGTGAATTTGCCAAAATTGTCACTCAGTGGTAACACCCAGCAGTGTCAATGACACACAAAGAAGAGGAAACACAATGGGGATAACTAAAAATAACACTCTCCTGTAAATGCCAGACTTATTTCCTTTGTAGGAAGGACAAAAACAAGTCTCTGAAGGCACCATCCTTCTCAGGCGTCTGGGCAAAGCAACCAGTGGGATATTTTTGTTTGGTTTGATGTTTGTTTGGAGTAAAACCAAACTGGAACAGGAAAACTGCTGCTTGTTTGGACAGTGGCTTGGTTAGAGAGAGGCACAAGGAATAGATCCTTCTTTGGGCAGGTTAAATCCTCTTATTTGTGGGAAGTTGTCAGAATAAAATAGTTTGGTTTCAAAGAGAAGCCTTCACGAAGGTCAGGTCCCACAGAACGTTTTGGAGGAGGCACTGGAACAGGTTTCCCAGAGGAGGTGTGGCTGCCCCATCCCTGGAAGTGTCCAAGGCCGGGTTGGATGGAGCTCTGAGCAACCTGAAAGGTTGTGAAAGAAAGTGGAAGATGTCCCTGCCCAGGGCAGGGAGTTGGAACTGGATGATCTCGAAGTCCCCTCCAACTTAAACCCTTCTATGATTCCATGATCTTAATCTAGGGAAGGGCACATAACAGCAAATCCCGGCCTGTGACGATCCATCCTGTTCCATTCTGGGATGTTTGGCCTGTGCCAACGGGAATTCAGCCAGGACAAACCCAGTGTGTGGTTTGGAGAACAGCACAGGCCAAGGACTATGTTGGGAAGGCAGATACGAGCTGACCTGAGCAGTGTCCTGAGGGACTGGAAAGAATCCTGGGAGATGCAACCTTGCGTTCAGAGATACAGTTGTCTCTCCCTTTCCATGTGTTTGCTGTCACAATACACCAGTTTACAGGGAGAAGTCGCCTTTTCAGGAATGCAGGTGGAGGTTTATCTGATTTTTATGGGGTTTTCACACCATTCTAACTCCTTTCAATGGATTCCCAAATAAATCCTCTGGTTTTAGTACTTCCCAAGGCTGTAGAGTGTTTTTTAGTTCCCATAATGCCAACACAAGCTCTGACTCTTTGTTTCCAGGGTTTTCTGAGGAGAGGATACCAAGGATTCAGGGAAGGCTTCTCCAAGCCAGCAGCCAAGAGGCAGATTCCAAAAATGAGGAGTTGCATCTCCTTGACCTCCAGGTTGTTCTGCTCCATTGGTCTGGGATGGTTTGGTCTTGAAGTTCCCTCCTCAGCCAGATGCTGCTTTTTAAAGATTTCCATTAGCAGTGTAAAAATATAGGAATATTGAGGTCTGGGAAGAAAAATCGGTTCCCAAAAGTCAGTAAAAATGTCAGAGAGGGGGAGGAAAAGGAAAGAGAGGGAGGGAGGAGGGAAGAGAGGGAGGAGGGAAGGAATGAAGGAAGAGAGGAAGGAGGGAAGGAATGAAGGAAGAGAGGAAGGAGGGAAGGAAGGAGGAAAGGAGGGAAGGAGGGAAGGGAGGAAGGAAGGAAAGAAAGAAAGAGAAAGAAAGAAAGAAAGAAAGGAAGAAAGAAAGAGAAAGAAAGAAAGGAAGAGAGAAATAGAGAAAGACAGAGAGAAGAATGAAGAAAGAAAGAAAGAAAGGAAGAAAGAAAGAAAGGAAGAAAGAAAGAGAAAGGAAGGAAAAAAAGAAAGAAAGAAAAAGAAAGAAAAAAGAAAGAAAAAGAAAGAAAGAAAGCAAGAAAGCAAGAAAGAAAGAAAGCAAGAAAGCAAGAAAGAAAGAAAGAAAGAAAGAAAGAAAGGAAGAAAGAAAGGAAGAAAGAAAGGAAGAAAGAGAAAGAAAGGAAGGAAGAAAGAAAGAGAAAGGAAGGAAAAAAAGAAAGAAAGAAAAAGAAAGAAAAAAGAAAGAAAAAGAAAGAAAGAAAGAAAGAAAGAAAGGCTCCCTCCATAATCCTGCAGGAACCAAAGTAATTACTCCAGGGAATCATTATTTTTCCATTAGACCAAAGGGCAAATTTCACCTGCTGGTGTCTCCCAGGGGCTGGGGCATGTAAAAAATCAGCCTCTGCTACAACATAAGTGAAATTAAAGAAAGAAAAAGCAAAGCTCACAAAATCTACCAATTAAGAACCAACACAAATGTACTGAGCAATTCAAATGGAGATATTTATATAAATAAACTCACAAACACATAATTTTTTCTTTAAGCAAACAGGTCTAGTGGAAGGTGTTCCTGGGGTTGGGACTGGATGATCTTTAAGGTCCCTTCCTACCCAAACCATTCTGTGATTCTACAAACTTTTAGGCACAGTCCAGTTTGGAGAGGCCCTTCAGTGCCAGTGTGATGGGGCCTGGGTCAGAGAGAGCTTTGGAGTGGATTTTACCCAAAATTTGAATTAAAGTGAGCACAAAAAACCCACAGATCTGTCTTTGAATCTGTAAATATTTTCTTTTGGGAACTCCAGCTCCATAAATGCATTGTTTCAAGGAAGGTCTTTGGGTGTGCTGGGAAAAAGGAGAAAAAAAATTGTTTAAAGCAAAGTTATTTTATTCTTTGATTATTGTCTTAGAAAAGAGATCCATTTCTCCCATCATTAGTCCAGCACTTTCCAGGGTCTTCTGCCTTGCAACAAAACTGCATTTTGGGGTCCCTGAGGAAAAGCCTCTTCTCTTCTATATTTCATGAGGTTTGGTCACACATTTCTGTGA